TTTATCTGCCCAGGTATTTACCATATGGGGCCCATGTACTTTAAATATGGGCATTCCCATATATTTGCCTATATATTTGGCATATGGGCTCCATATGGGTAAACCATGGGCAAGCCCCATATGTGATTGCCCAGACGGATCCCATAAGGGAAAAAATATGGGGTAGCCCATAAGACTTTTCCCAGATATTTTGCATATGGGCCCCATGTGGGATTGTTACCTGGGTACGTTCCTGGTAGACATTATAAACTCGATCAAGAATTTAATCGAGTAAAATTCTGTCCACGTCTTATGGTCCTGAGAAAAATTTGGTATATTGTACAACTGGTTTTAAGACAATAGGGACTTTTTGAAGTCACGACGGAAACGTTACACGTCATAATGTGCATACTTAGCTTCGCCCACTTGAAAGTGCGCATGCATAACTACACTGACAATTTTTCTTACGTTCTTTTCAGGACGTTAGTTTGATTGGTCTAGCGTACTCATGAAAACGTTAGTTGTCTGAGTGGGCGGAGCTAAAATGACGTAAGGATTTTAGTAAAATAGAAATGCAGGTGAATCTGACCGATCACAGAACAGCACTAAATTGTGGGTTTATTATATTACATCTTGAATCTTACATGTGACTTTTTGTGAGTAGGAGTTTTGGAAAAATGGAAACGACAAGGAATCCGACCGGTGAACTTACCGAAATTGAATCGTGAGTTTATTATATTAGATTATGTAAACAAATCATTTTTTTAATGTTTTCATTCACAGAGTGGAAATTCAAAGAATTCTGCAAAAAAGGAATACAGTAAATAAACTTAGGTGGATCCTCTATACAAAGACTCCATATAAACTGAGCCTATGCCCTGGAGACATAGACCGCCTAGGCCTAGAGGTCTGTAACAGTGTAGGCAAGGTCTTCCCAAATATTATAGTTTATTATATTAGATTATGTAAACAAATCATTTTTTTAATGTTTTCATTCACAGAGTGGAAATTCAAAGAATTCTGCAAAAAAGGAATACAGTAAATAAACTTAGGTGGATCCTCTATACAAAGACTCCATATAAACTGAGCCTATGCCCTGGAGACATAGACCGCCTAGGCCTAGAGGTCTGTAACAGTGTAGGCAAGGTCTTCCCAAATAAATATAGGACTAGGCTTTGGCCCGTCACCCACTGTTTTTTTTCAATATAGTATAAATAAAAGACAAATAAAAACATAATTTGAAGAAGTTCTTTGTTGGGCTACAATGCAAACTTATTACAGTAGTAGGTCTACACAAATCGAGTAACTGTGTTTTTCAAAATAATGAAAAAACATAAATTGTTCCAAAAAATAATTGAAAATTAATATAGATTGTGTTTAATTATTTCATATTTTAATTATTTTTATTTTTATTTTGTTTAGTGTAATTGCTAATCCCATCCAGATGGCTCTGCAGACTCAAGTAAGAAAAAGGTATATGTATTTATATATTATAGTATTTCATAATTTCAAGAATGGATACATTTTTTTATTTTCTTTTTTTTAAGTCCTTATTCAGAGTAGTCGGGAATGGTAGTAACAAATCCTTTCAGCTACAAGGAAAGAACCAGGGAAAGGTGGCAAATATAGCAATCTGTGGCCTCTAATCTAAATGCCATGTGGGAAACTGATAAAACAGATAGCAGAGGGTGCAGGGAGCGATACAACCTCCTTAAGACAAAGCATGTAAAAAATGAACAATGAAGAAGAAGCTTCAGGGATTTCCCCTAAAGAGACAGAAGACGACAAGGCGATGGAGGAGCTGGTAAATCCTGAAAAGGAGTCCGAAACATCAAGTCTTCCATCTGATAATAAAGAAAGAGAAGGAGGATGCGCAGGAAATGAGAAATAGATGTTTTAATGCCATGACACCAATTAAAAAGTAAGATAGTTGGAAATTATATCCATATAAAAAAAGGATAGTACTTCATAAACAATCAATCATGCTTAATCATAAAAAAAAAAAATGTAGATGTGACTATGACAATATTTATTGATCTTATTTGTTCTGCAGGACAAAGAGTGAAGATGTGTCGAATGAGACTATGCTCATGATCAAAGAAAAAATGGAGAGAGAAAGTGGAGAAATGAAGAGAAAGAATTGAAAGAGAAGCAGATGGAGCAAGAAGCAGAATTTAGAAAACAAGAGGCTGCTAAAAGAACTAAATAAATAGACTTGATGCAACAGCAAATGCTACAGCAAACTCAGTAGATGAACAATATTATGATAATGATGTTGGAAGTATTAAAAAATAAGTAATCAAATAATTATAAATATGTAATTAAAATTTTATTTTAATAATTTAGCAGGCCCATGTTTTTTTTTTATTCTGCTCTCTTGTTCCATCTGCTTTTTTTTGGTTTAATGTTAAGCTTGCAAAATCTAGTTTACCTAACTCAAGTAACTTCTAAGTTGATCTTATTTTATATGCCAAAATTGTTGTGGATTCCATTAATTAATGATCTGCAAGTCAAATTTTATCTAATTCTTAGGCAAGTTCACTATATCATATACTGTCCTATTATTGTGCAATGATTATTTTTAAATTGTATATTGTGTGTATACACTTAAATAAAACAATTTCCACAGATATACAGTATAGTTTTATGAATATTCATGTTTAATACTACTGCAAACCAATAAACATCGTATCCAGGGAACAAACATTTTGTTATAATTTGTTACGAAGACGCGTAGAGGAGGGAAGTAACAAACAACTACAAACAGCAAACTGTATCATTTGAACACTAGCACTCCAGAGGAGTCAAAAGAAGTAAAAATACTAATACATTTTCTTTAAATTGTTACACAATTATTGTTTTGAAAAGAATATCAAAGAATTGCAATTACAATAATAAAATAAGTTTTTTGTTGAAATTTCTCATTAATAATTATACTGTAAGTTGACGTGTACTGACGCAATCCGACA